CTCCCCCTGAATATCAGACACATGCAATCTCTGTTGTCGTTTCGGCACCTACTGAAGACCTTCCTTTTACAACCAGCCTTTTAAGTTGAGATCCTTCCCAGTCCATATCTGCACTGCAGTGGTTTTTAGATTAATATTCTTTTATTGCTTGTGTGTTTTCCAGCCTGGGCTCCTTTGGGAAGGAGGACACAATATAATTTTAATAAATAATAAATAAAATAATTGATTTTCTCCCCCCCTCCCCAAGACTCTTCTAAAAATTCCTCTTGGTTATTCATTGTTTCTTGATTCTCTTTTCATAGCTCAAAAGTTGACAATTCACATTTTCTTCCCTTCCATTCCAACTTTCTTTCTTCTTACCTAAACTATGTGTCTGTGGGCAGGGTTTTGCCTTTGGTTTCCTTTTGTTTTTGAAGAACACCAAGTGGGTTTCATGTTGTTATAGCTACAGTACTTGGCTGCAATCCACCTTTCTTGTGGTGAGGAAAGTCATTTGCTGTAGAGATAAGATTCCTTTCATGGAAAAGTGTATTTCCAGAAGAGCTGTTTGATTTCCAGTGTGTCGTTTATACATAACTTAGCCAACAGCAGTAGGAAAGACACACACGCATGCAGAATAAAATTTATGTAGCTTATTTTGACCGCTCAAAAGAAATATTAGTAATCCTTATAAAATCATTTACATTATCTAAGCATTATCACAGCATCAGCCTTATTATCTCAATAGTGTAGATGGGGGATTGAGACCAAAAGATCTCAATCATTGCTTAGCCATTTGGTGACAGAAGCGAGATTTTAATCTGAGACTTCTTGTTTCATCACATCATATAATCTTCTGTCTAAGGCTGAAGAAGAAATCTGATTCAGTTCACATTTGAAGGCAAATTTACTGAATCTGCACTTTTCATAACAATTCACAAACCAAGCATAACCATTCACACTTCTCTGAATTTCACAGTGCAGTTCTCCAGCTAAAAAAGACAAACCACAAGCTGATGTTGAGAACTGAATTTAAGATTGAAGAAACTGAGAGAAACCAAAATCAACATGTTCACTCATCCCTCGCTATGACTAAGGTGCTGCACTGAGAGAAGCTGGCACTATCAGTTGTTGGAATGTGTACATTTTGAGTCGGCCATGGGGCACAGTCTGTCTAATAATTAAAAGTCCAGGGGGCACATCTTAGGGCCTTCCATTTAAAAGAAGTGCACAGTTTACTCATTTTATACATGTGATTTTGCCGTTCTTCAATGGCTGTAAAGGTTTCTACATTCACCAATGAAAGCTGACACCCTCTGTTTCTAACAAGGTTGATTGTTGGTTTGATAAATTGCTTATCAAGGTTTCTGGGAGGTATATTGAAAGTGCATCATTAATAAAACTCCAAAACAAGTTGGCAAGTTGCCTCCTTTGTACAAATCAGAGCGGAATTCTTTTGTGTGTGACAGAAGTTATTCATCTGCACATAGCACCATTATACCTAATTAGAGGGATGGAAATATCATTCCAGTAATTTGATTGTCTGAAACTATTTCTTGGTGCCTTGTAACTATGGAAAAAACAATATGCCTTTAGGACTACAGATGGTGAATATGTGGCTGTTCTCATTTTTCTTATTACAAACAAATAGGGGGTGCTTTCTGAAGTATGTACACATGCTTAAGAGTAAATCTTGTCTTCTCCAAAACATGTTGCAATTTCATTTCAGTTCCCTCAATTTATAGTTAGAAGAATAGAAACTATTTCCTCTGATGGCCCAAGCAATATGTAACATGGCTGAAAATTTCTGCTTGTTGATATTTTCCTTTCACTTTTGCCTCATAATGTGATCTTTGGATGAAGGGTGGTATACAAATTTAATAAATAAAATAATAATGGTGATAATAATCTTTTTATAGGAGAAAGAAGTATGTGGTGGGAGGTTCCCACAGATAGCAACAAAGATCCTCAGAGAATAATCCTTACTTAGAAAATAAATACCTTTAATTGGACCAACCTATATGTCCCAAATAGTGGGACGCGGGTGGCGCTGTGGGTAAAAGCCTCAGCGCCTAGGGCTTGCCGATCGAAAGGTCGGCGGTTCGAATCCCCGCGGCGGGGTGCACTCCCGCTGCTCGGTCCCAGCGCCTGCCAACCTAGCAGTTCGAAAGCACCCTCGGGTGCAAGTAGATAAATAGGGACCGCTTACCAGCGGGAAGGTAAACGGCGTTCCGTGTGCTGCGCTGGCTCGCCAGATGCAGCTTTGTCACGCTGGCCACGTGACCCGGAAGTGTCTGCGGACAGCGCTGGCCCCCGGCCTCTTGAGTGAGATGTGCGCACAACCCCAGAGTCTGTCAAGACTGGCCCGTACGGGCAGGGGTACCTTTACCTTTACTTTTATATGTCCCAAATATTAATAACGGGCCTATGAATGTTGTTTGTATTAATTCTAACTTAATGCAAACAATATTTGCATTAAATTAATTCACTGCCTCATCACTGCTGCATATGAGCTTTGCCACACTGAGCACTTTTCGTTTTTCACCTTCCACACAAATATAGTTGTAAGATGGGGAGATTTTACAAGAGAGAATTCATAGAATCAGAAGTACTGTTGGAGAACCCTTTCAATGGTCCTGGCACTCTTTTGTTAAGGAGATAACTAGCTAAATAGCTAGAAAATGGATTTCTGATTTAATGCAGTCCACTCATTTTTAGCTCCATTGAAGTGAGCCTTCCTGTACACTACTTAGAGAAACTGTAATTATGTGGTATACAGATCGTCGGGGAAAACAAATAAATAGAAATATTTGAGCAGAGGCATACCTTTCTCTCTCACTGACTCTGGGTGCTGTAGAGACATGGTAACTATCACTCCAAGTCTTTCTGTGACAGTTCACACATACAGTCATAAAGTGATTCACCTACGTACATGTGTAAACCATTTGTTGCCCTGGTATCCTCTCATTTCTTCCACATGTAAGGTGTTCCTGACCAATTCTTTATTTAGGATCATCCTTATTTAAGTTCTGTGGGTTGAAATAATGCCTGGTGTTGACAGTCTGAAGGTGCAGAATTAGTTGTAACATAGAATGTGATGCTTTCTTTGTATCTGTCAAAAAACAAACAAACCCATGTCTCTATTAAGTATATTTGAAAATGACAGCTGGAAGATGAATGTGATGGGTATATATGATGGAGTGCTCAGACTTTGGTGAATTTTATTTTTATTTTATTGACATATTTGCCTTAAATGATTAGCTTGCTTTCCTCCCCTGTCAAATAAAACGTTTTTAGACTTCACTTAGACTTGGAAAAAAATTAAATAGAGATGTCTTGGCAAATACCAACTGTTTTATTGGAGCAGAGCGGTGTTGTTAACGATATTACAGTTATCACAGTGTCAGTCTTTCCATTATAAACCCCATTTTCAGAATTTTACAGCTTGGTTGTAAAAGCCTGTCTGAAGTTGAAAATGGGAGAGCCAAAGCTCTGTGTGGGAATGGAGTTTTCTGAATCTGTCTTTTTCTGGAGGTTCTTGGGGTTTTTTTTGGTAGAACTCTTTGGATTTTGGTACCATTCAGCGTTGTAAATTACTATAGTCTCATAAGGGTTATGAAAGTATCAATGGTTAGTGCTGCTTTGAAGTTTTGTAAGAATATTAAGTCTGCTTCAGCTGACAGACTTGGCATGCTGTGACGTTCATTATTTGTGGTCGTTCTCATCAATGGTATAGCATGCCACACTGCCAGCTGAACACTTGGTACCTATAACTTTAAATCCCATAATTCAGCAGGAAACAAAGCAGCCATGTTTCTGCTCATCCATTCCCTCTGCCCTTGCACCCCTTTTCCCTTCTCTTAACTTCTGTTATGTGTAGAGGGGCTTTAATTGTAAATATGTGGTGCATGTTGCAAGGTGACTTCATTGGAATCACTTAGATATCTATTGTTTTCTGTATTAGAGATGTTTGCATGGGCGGCAGTAGAGTTGCCAAGTGTCAGCCTTGTGCTCATGCCTGTGTTTTGAAAAAACAATGCCCAAAGTGATGGAGAAAGCAGCCATTTTCCCACTTGATCAATTAACTGCTCCAGAACCCACATAGACATGTGACTGAGGACTATTTCAGAAGTTACTTTTGGGTCTATATAGATATTTTCCCCCAGGCAATGTGAATCTCTGTCAGATGTATGACATTTTATTCTTGGAAGAGCCTGCCATTGACGGTTCTGAAAATGTCTAGGGAAAGAACACGATCAGGAACATAGAAAGCTGCCTTATTTCAAGTCAGACCATGGGTACAACTAGTTTGATATTGTCTACACTGACTGGCAGCAGCACATCAGGGTTTCCTAGGAGTCTTTCCCAGACTGACCTGGAGATGACAGGGATTGAAGCTGGGACTGTTTGCATGAGAAGCATGCACTCTACCATTGTGGTAAGTGTCTTGAATCGTGCTGGCTTAAAGGTATGCTTCCAGTATTCCACTTGCAAGGGAGCCTTTCTAGCCATTCATAGATTTCACTGCTTGATCTTCTGTTATTTGTTTTAGAAGCATGTGGCATGGTGGCTGCGCTTTCAGCCTTTCTCCAACATGTCAACTTCTTACAATAACCACATGTTGTGCCTGGTTGTGTGTTAGGAAGGCTCACGGCCTGAGCTGTGTGTGTGTCCTAGACCTTACTGATGAGTTTGGAGCTCATACACTGGGCTTTCTTTTGCACACAACCACATGAAAGAAGACAAGGTGTTGGGGAAGGGCTAAAAGCACTCCCCTGATCCACATGCTTATCCCTTGCACATGAATGACACATGAGTAGGGTGCATCAAGCAACTGTTGAACCATCTTGAAAAACCAGTTGAAATCATTGGGATCTCTGCCTTTGAGTGCAATAATGTGAAACCACTCGAGTAATAATATACTAAGTGCATAATTTTATAATCCATGTTTTTGATCTGGGATAAGGAAGAGCCAATTTTTCTCTCACCTTTTTAAGGTTTCTTTTTTCTTCTTCCTGCAGCGGCCTTTGAGTCCTTGCTTCGCTTTGCTGAGAACCATACGACTTCTCTGTTTGAGACTGTCTACAGATCCATGTCAAAAGAAGCAGCAGAGCCTGTCAAAGAGCTCTTTACAGACATCTCTCTCTACCTCTTGGGCGCTCAGACCACAGTGGAAAGTGTCCTTTTCCGGTTCTTCGACAGCCTCTTCCCTTTGGTTTACAGCCGCCTAATCAACCCAGGCATGGCGAGTCTGTCCGAGGAGTATACAGAGTGCCTGCGGCTAACGCGGCAAGATATAAATCCATTTGGACTCTGTTCTAAAGAAGCAGTTACAAAGTTGGAAAAGTCTCTTTGGGCAAGCAGGACATTCAATCAGGCCCTGGGTATAGGCATTGAAGTACTGAATGCTACTGAACACGCCACGTTGACAAAGGAATGCAGCAGAGCCCTAGTGAAGATGCAGTATTGCCCACATTGCCAAGGTCTGACTCTGATCAGACCCTGTGAAGGATATTGTCTTAATGTCATGAGGGGCTGTTTTGCCAGCATATCTGAACTGGACTCTCAGTGGAGGGAATATATCTATACCCTGGAGTATCTCACTAACGAAATGGCTGGATCGCATGATCTAGAAGCGGCACTTTTGGGTATCCGGAATTCAATCAATGACGCCATCTTGCATGCCCAGCTGAATGGACCCCACCTGTCTGCAACTGTAAGTATTGTGTTCAGATTTGTTTTCAACTTCTTGCTGCTACTTTTAACCTTTGGTGTGTGCATTGTCTCTAACTATTGTTTATTATTGCTTAGGCAAATATCAGTTGTTGATGGTGCCTTCTTCCTTTTTTCTTTCTCACATGCCTATCTATATTAGGCAATTGGTAAAAAGCTCACACAGAGGAATCTTTCAAAAGGAAATGAAGAGACTTATTGAGGAGGAGTATGTGTAAATCAGAATGTTAGTAGTCATTATGGTTCCACAGAAAAAACTGGAGTTCAGTGAGATAATCAAGGAAGGCCTAGATTTGATTGATGGATCATATATATTTCTAATACCACTTTTCATTTACAAAAGAAATACCACACACACACTACACACACACATACACAAATATAAAAATATACTTTACAGTATTAAAAACACAAACATAATAAGCATAATAGCAAACAAAAACATTAACCCCCCATAATCACATCCTAATGACCACATGAACAATAGTTTAAGAAAAAGCCAACCATAAGCAATAAAGTGAATAGTAAAATATCAAGTGACCATGAGCAGCAGGATGTTAATCAATGAACTGCATGTTAAGTGCATGACTATGTAATTGTCGAGCTCTCTCTTTTGCTTCTAGTGTTTCACTGTAATGGAGAATGACAAATGCAATAATATTTCTTCTAGCATTTAGTAGTAGCTTCTGTTTATTAAATGTTAAACTATTTTGCATTTCCTTCAGTATATGTAAAAAGGCACCTACATTGAGATATTGGTAATATAACACTCTTCATCCAAAGTTCACAGGGCGGTTTACAATATAAAAACATGCAATATACTAAGTTATTTATTTGCTAAATTGTTTTTATGGCAGATGAATAGCTAAAATGTGTGCTGATGGCTCTAATAGAAACCCATATTTAGCACCAGTTACTACTTTACTTAAAGTAGATACCTTGGGCTACATCCAAGGTGTTCTCTCATCAGCACAAGGGCTTCTCCTTGTGTAATGAAACTATTTTTCTCTCTCCTCTTCCTGTGCATCCTCTGTGCTCTTCCCAAATCTGCTCCAGACTGTTTTGGGAAACCCTGAACAGATTTGGGGTATGTGAAGGGAGGAGAGAGGGGGGAAGTTCCATCGCAGAAGCAGAAGCCCTTGCACTAACAGGATAAATTTGTTAGATTCAGCTCTTTACTTCCAGAACTTTCCATTGGCACACTGAGGGATTGTTACATGATTCACCTCCCCCTCCCCCCACCATTAAAGACATTTGCACAAAGTTTTTTTAGGTGAAACACTTTCTTTTAATTCCAGCTATCAAGATTTCAGAAACTCAGTTTTGGAAATGAGAATAGCGCTCAAAATAGAAAATGTACTTTTGCTCTATGGAATATTTTTACCTGAGGAATAAGACTGTTCCAGTGCAATGTTCATTTTTTTCCACCATGCTGTTGTTGTTTTTAAAACCACATTGCAAATATATAATACACGAGCCCATAAACTGAAAAGTCCTATATGAAAGATTGAAGTATAGGTCAGAAATTATAGGAATTACTAATGAGGCAGCTGGCTATTCTTACATGAAGCGCAGGATGACTGTCAACATAGCAACATGGCAACTGGACTCAAAACAAGGATTAGGCTAATCTGGAAGAATGCAAAGAAAAATAAATCACATGGCTTTGGACAGGGTAATTTCATTGCATAACTTTGGTTATTCTGTTGGTTTGGGGTATGGAAAAGACTCAAAGGGATAGAGAAAGAAATTAAGATGGAAACTGCCGTTGGTCTACCTGGATGATATTCTACTATAGACTTGCAGCTGAAAGAACAACGATAGAAGAGAATCATAGAGTTGGAAGGGACCCCGAGGGTCATCTAGTCCAACCCACTGCAATGCAAGAATCCTGCTCTGGGAATACTCAAACCACCAACCTTCTGGTTAACAGCCAGTCACAGTGACTATTACACCACCTGACATGTCCAATGTAACTATTTTCTAGTTCTGAGAGAGAGCATATTTATTTAATAATATTTATACTCCTTCATTGTTTCTTTTCATAAAAAACCCTCACTGTAGTTTGCAAAAAGTATACTACAGATACTACCAATATGTGTTTATTTAGTGTATTATTATCCTACCTTCCTTCCAAAGAAGTCACGGTATCATACATGGTTCTTCCGTATATGTGAGGTGGCCACAGCTGAATGGTTGAGGCCATGGTCACTCAGTGTTCTTTGTGGCTGAGTGAGGATCTGAAGCTGGGTATCACAAATCCTAGTCTGGCACTCCAGCCGCCACACTATAATAGACTGAGATTTAATCTTATTTTAAAAGCCTGAGCCCCAACTGCAGCTGGCTCAGAGTTGGCCCACAAGGTGGGAACCAAAAATATTGCCTACCTCTGATCTAATGGGTTAGGGGGGATTGAGTCCCGAACAAATTTTAAATTATCCTAGTTAGCTTCAGGTAACTGTTAACTTTGATTCATGACACACAAAATGAAGTTCTCTCTCTCACTCACTCACACACACACACACACACACACACGGTTAAACTTTGGCATTCTCTGCTACCAGATGTGGCAATGATCACCAACACAGATGGGTTTAAAACAAACTCACAGTTGAGAATGCTATCATTGGATATTGATGGCTATATTCTCCAGGGTCATCAATTGTTCAGGAGCAACACTGTGCAAGTACTGTTCACCTCACAGCCTGCTGTGGGCTTCCCAGAGCCTTCTTTTTGGCCATTGTAGGAATCTCAGTGCTGGAACAGAGAGGTCTTGGGTTTGATCCTGTGGGCACTTCTTAATATTCATAACTTAGTGCATTAGACCCAATGTTTATGTTATCTGTCAGAATTTGATACAGCCCTCTGAATTAATATTTTAGAAAACCATTAGCCTGGAATAGCACAGATAATAGAGCATGAGACTCGTAATCTCAGGGTCATGAGTTCAAGCTTTGCAGGGTGTTGGACTAGATGACCCTTTTGGTCCCTTTCAATTCTACAATTCTATAAATCTGCAATTCATTTCTAACCGAGGCTGCTTTGCAGTGATGAGTCAAAAGCTAAATTCAGCTCATGATGGTGGCTGCATCTAGCTAGCCAAGAAGCTTGTCACATTCCGAGAGCTCACATCAAGCAAGGAGAGGCAGCCTTTTCCCTATGCCATGGCTTGGAGAGTATGCCTTGAACAGCTCGTCACTGTGACCAAATAATTTTACAGCTTTTAGCTGGCAGAATCCAAGAACTAAATTCATAATCTGTCTGGTTTGCTGGAGTTTTGAAAAAACTGGTACTCACAGACTAGATTAGCTGGTTTAACATTTAAGTTAAATTAAGAGTTGAACAGATCTGTCCATTTAAGCCATTTCGCTATGTCTTTACACATAATTCCATTCTATTCAGTTTCAGCATTTTTTAAAAAATATATATTTTAAAATATATTATCTTTCAGAAGTATTTTAATATATTTCCATTCCTGCTTCAGGAATTGTGTGCCTTTCTTCCATGAAATCCACTTTTGCAACCAACTGTGCACCTGGTATAATTCAACGAGAAATATGGTAGTTATGGAAAACATCTTCAAATAAAGAAAACAACCCAGGCTGGTAGCTTTCATTTACCCTGAGGCAGCTTTCATTAACAGCCGTGCTCACTTTTTAGGAAACGGTTAACATTTTTGAAATAGCTAGGCAAAGGCTATGCATTAACATAAAGAATTCCTTTTTTGCTAATTGAGAACTTGGCAGTGAATAATGGAAAGTTGGCTATTTTTACTTTGTTGGGGAAAAGGTTAAGTAAAGCATTTACTGTACTTAGCAGAAGTGCTCACCACACTTGCAGGCAAAGGGGGGGAAAGGGGAGACGCGCTTTATGTTGAACTGCAGAAATATCTTTCCCATTGAAGTCAAGGGACCTGCTTGTGGTATGTGTGAAATACCTGCTTGTGGTATGTGTGAAAGGTTGCCATTAAGATATTAAACCACTCTTGGGCTCAGTACATTTCTCTTTATTGTGCCGTGCCATTTGTTCAATGACGCTGGCTTCTACCCAACTACTTCAGCTAATGTAGGTCCTCTACAGTCTGCAGCCTCAGCAATCACAGCCGTTATTTTATCTTTCGTCGGCTAGAATCTTAATTTGTGTGTCCTACTGGAAGAAATCCCCCATGCTCTGTGGTGCCAGATAGGTTGACTTAGCTTGTTGACCCTTGCCATCACTTTTTGAGACTTTTGCTTCTCTTCCTCTGTGCTATGGAGTTATAGTGTCTCACCTTGTTTTTTATTCTGCGGCAGTACACACCTTAGTCCACCTTTGTTTTCATTTGTTCTATTCTTTTTCTGTTTTATTATCTTGTCCTTTCCGAAAGGCTCAGGAATAACAACAACAACAACAACAATAATAATATTTATTTATATCCCGCCCTCCCCAGCTGAAGCTGGGCTCAGGGCAGCTAACAACAATCAAATAATCAAACAATCAAATAACCCAACATTCTAAAAACATTTCATTATAAAAATTAATTAAAATCAAATTAATGGCAACCGTTAAGAGAAATTCTGTGCAGGTTGCAAGAGGAGGGAGTCAGGCTGTGCCCTGACCAAAGGCCTGGTGGAACAACTCTGTCTTGCAGGCCCTGCGGAAAGATGTCAGGTCCCGCAGGGCCCTAGTCTCTTGTGACAGAGCGTTCCACCAGATTGGAGCCGCAGCCGAGAAAGCCCTGGCTCTAGTTGAGGCCAGCCTAACCTCTCTGTGGCCTGGGACCTTCAGGATGTTTTTATTTGCAGACCGTAGGTTCCTCTGTGGGGCATACCAGGATGTCAATTTTTTTCCACCAAACTAATAAGACCGTTTTCGCATTTCAAAGTGCATTTGAGCCCTTCTCGTGTGAGCTGTGGCATGTGTTGATAGTGTGGGAAATAATGTAGAAAAGAAAAACTAGTTCGTGTCTTCTGACCAGTTCGCATTATTGACTGATTTAAGCAC